TTGGGGGTCTTTGGGGCCGTCATGGGGCCATCTTGGAGGCCTTTGGGGCGATCTTGGGGGCCTCTTGCGCCGTCTTGAGCCGTCGGAATGCCGAGAAGAAGCAAATGCCACAATCCTTCAAAAACCTTAGGAGCATGTATGATTTTTGCCTCTTCGTGTCCTCCTGAAAGCCTCTCTGGCCGTCTTGCGCCATCTTGAGGCCATCTTAGGCCGTCTTGGGTGCATCTTGGGCCGTCTTGGAGGCATCTTGGGACTATCTTTGCCGTCTTGGAGGCCATTTTGGCCGTCTTGGAGGCCTCTTGGGCCCTCTTGGGGCCGTCTTGGGGGCCTCTTGGCCCGTCATGGGGCCATCTTGGAGGCCTCGTTGGCGATCTTGGGGGCCTCTTTGGGCCGTTTTGAGCCGTCGGAATGCCGAGAAGAAGCAAATGCCAAAATCCTTCAAAAACCTTAGGAACATCAATGATGTAGGCCTCTTCGGGCCCTCCTGGAGGACCTCTTGGAGGCCTCTTGGGCCGTCTTGGAGGCCTTTTGGAGGCTTCTTGGGCCGTCGTCGGCCATCTGGAGGCAATCTCAGGCCGTCTTGGGTGTATCTTGGGCCGTCTTGGATGCATCTTGGGGCCATCTTAGCCGTCTTGGAGGCCATCTTGGGCGTCTTGGAGGCCCCTGGGGCCGTCTTGGGGCCCTCTTGGGGCCCTCTTGGGAGCCCTGGAATGCCTCTTGGGGCCATCTTGAAGGCCATCGATCAAAGGAGGAGATGGTGTAACGTTCGGTCCCCCCCAAAGAGGCCAAAATGGGGCCAAAACCTCAGCAAAACCAATGATTGTGGCTTCCTCGCCGAGGCCGTTTTGGACGCCCTGACACCTCGCGAACCCCCCCAAGAAAGTCCAGGGGAGGGGGTAGATGGAGGGGTAAACCCCTCCCCGTATGGGAAGAGTTTTTTTTGGAAGAGGGAAGAGGAATCTCGTTAGACCACCTGCACCCAGAGGGCTGGTGGGATTTGTGAGACTCTCTTTTTTATGTGTCCTTCAAAATCCGCCTGCAGGGGGACACGCCCGACATAAAAGTAATTCTTCCGAGCATGGGCGTTCTGTCGTCAACGCTGCAACGTGCGCGGCGGGCATGGGGCCCGGCGCACGTCGCGCCCTGCGCTTCTCGCCGACACCGCACGGGACGCGGCAGGAATGGGACGCGGCGACCGTGCGTTCCGTCAGTTTGGAGTCCCTTCTCGTCGATGGCACACAGATCAGCCGGGCCGAACGAAAGGGGGGGACAGGGCAAGAGGGGGTTACAAAACTTGCTGTGTGCAGCTGGTCTCAGCCCCACCGAGGGGCCCGTTCCTCGATACATGGCCGCCTCCGGCGCCGGGAGGCGCCAGGAAAATCAGCTACGTGAGCTGATTCTCACCCCCTCCCTTTGTTATCCCCCCCTTTCGCCCGGCCCGAATCAGGCGATCGCAAACATGGATTAACGGGGCGTGGATTAGCGACGGGTCCCGCTTCCATGGGGAATCGCGATTTCCGCCGCCGAGCGAGGCGCCACCGGCCGCATTCTGGGGAGGGACCCCCCCGATCCATGGATTTGGCGACCGCGCGCCAAATCCATGGATCGCTAATCCATGTCTGCGCGCCCCCGACAAAAGCGTGGCAGGAACGGGACGGGGCGCGCATAGCGTGCGAAGGGGCGAACTGCCTCTCTCGCCTCGGTGCCCCCTCACTGTCTCCGAGGGTTGAGCTCCGCGTTCTGGACGCTTTTCGCTCGCCACTTCGTCGACGCGCGAACGAAACAAAGTGTCGTTCTCGCGTTGGCGCCGCGCAGACTTCGCCTGAATTTGGCGCTCCCGCTCTGGCGCCCGCGCGAGTGGGCCACTCTCACGAAGACGAACACCCAGAAAAATACGGAAACACGGAAACATGTTTGGGAATCCTGGGATGTGTGTCTATTTGTCTGTGTTTCTCTGGGCCCCAGTCACGCTCCTCGCCCGAGTTCCGTGCGCATTTCGCTCGGAAACTGCGTCTCCGCGCGGGCGCGGCACGCCGCTCCGTCGCCGATCGGCATACCTACTACCCTTGTCAAAATTAACTTCAAAAATGGCGAACACGCCCCTGCGATGTCGGCGCGCCCTTCAATGTCGATAGACGCCCCTCCAATGTCGGGGCCAGGGCAAAGGCGGTCTCACAGGGATCGACTCGGAACGGCGGCGCATACGAGTACCTCGCAGTCACCGCCACTCCGTCCGGCATCTCCCCACAGACAGCTCAGCCGCGTCAGACCTGCAGGTTCATGCTGACGAGGGTTGCAGGACAAGGGGGCAGAGCGGCCGCGGGGCTGCCCGCACGGGCGGGCGCAGTGCTCGGCGCCGCGCCGGCGTCGCGCAGCTTGTGCGCGAAGGTGGCAGGTGCTGTGCCTCGGGCGGCGAGAGAGGGGGGGGGAAGTGAGACGGAGAAGGCCTCTGCAGAAGGCGGGCGGGGCTTCTCTCGGGAGAGAAACAAAGCGGTAAACACAAATTGTTCAAGGTCTTTCCGCCATGGTACCGCACCCCTGGGCGGGGCGGTAGTCTGGGGTCGTCCATTGCTTGTGCTGCAGTTGCTTTTGTGTTGCGCGCAGCCTAGATTGCGTCGATGATATTCCGGCGAGTTGGGGCTGTGAGATTGCCTCCAGGCTGCGCACGGTGGACGCGTCCCTTAGCATCTAGTGGGGGCGCGCAGAAGTTGTCTGTGCGCGGTGCTCGGTCGCGCGCCTTCTGAGCAGTTTATGTTTCCTGTATCTGGGGAGGGCTCAGAAAACTTCTCAGAGGGCCCGGGGACGAACCTTCTGAGAAGGCCTTCTCCTTCTCGCTTCCTCCCCTGGCTCGCCGCCGAGTGTCGGCGCGGCTCGTGTTTCGTTTCATCGCGCTCATCGGAAATGTTGACGCTCCCGCCGTTGTGCGGCCAGCGTAGTCTTCCGTCGCCCAGTCGTCGGAAGCGGGACCGCGCGCGCCTGCGCCTTCGGGCTCGCTAGGTGCAATGGGTTCCGATCCCAATAGCAGGCTGTGCCATAAACAATTCTTGAATTCCTTTAACGCGCCGCGTGTCCCCACCAGCCCATCCAGAAACAGATGGCCAGGCGAGTTGCCTTGATCAGGGAAGTGTAGAAACATGCAGTTTAACACGCCTTGGCAGCGTTTTCTCGGAGATCTCTTGGAACCATCTTTGGGCTCTCTTGGGGTCCTTGCGCAGCCTCTAGGGCCCTCATGAGCCCCCTTGGGGCTCTCTTGGGGCCTTCTTGAGGCCCTCTTGGGGCTCTTTTGGGGGGTCTGGGGGGCCTCTTGGGGCCGTCTTGGGCCCCATGGCTGAAAAAGAGGGGGGTACTAGATTCAGGTCCCCCCCTCGGAGGCTCAAAAATGGCGTCTTGGGGCCCTCTTGGGCTTCTTTGGGGGCTCTCTTTAGCCGTCTTGGGGCCATCTTGAGGGCTCAAAAGCTTATTGGAATCGAAAAGGCGAGAAGGCATCACATATTAATTTGTCCATCGGTTGTTGAAAGATTTTGGCCTCTTGGGGGGTCCCTGGAGGGCTCGGAGGGCACCTGAAACCGTCTTGGGGCCGTCTGGAGGCCTCTTGGATTTGTGTCGAGGCTATCTTGAGCCATCGTAAGCTATCTCGAGCCATCCTGGAGGCCGCCTTGGGCTCTCTGAGGCCTGGGGCGCTCTCACTGCCCCCTGACCCACGGGTGAGGGGGGAGGGGGAGGGGTCAAGACACTCCCTAGTTAGATAGCAAGCTGTCTAGCTCACTCCCACCCGCCCTTCCAACACATAAGTAACATCCGAGCCTGAGCATGTTCAGCGGTCGTCTTTGGATTGGCAGCTACTGGGAACCAAAACCGACACCATGTGCGCGTCGCTGGGGCGAGGTGCGCCACGCGTGCCAGGCGCGCCACGCACGCCAAGCACCCCTGGGGCCCGAGTGTGCCAGGCACGCCTGGTGCGCTAGATGCGCCACGTGCTCCGCGTGCGCCAGGTGTGCCGCATACCCCAGCCGCGTCAGATGCGCCACGTTCAGGGCACGTGCAGAGTGTTTCAGGTGCGCCTGCGCACGTGACTGCACACATCGGGAAACGTGTCGGCCCCCACAATCCTTGTCAAAAACCAGTGCCCATCAGTGTGTCTGGTGGGCCTGCGGACCGCAGTCCATACGTCACCACCCCCGCCGTCCCTGTCAAAAACCACTTGACAGTGATCGCGGGGTGGCCGCGCATGATCCACATTTAGCCGCGAGGTGCATTTTGTATTGTTCTGTTGGGTATGGTAGCCCTGCGCACTGCAGGCAGCTAGTAAGCTGACACCCCCGCCGTTCCTGTCAAAAACAATACAACGTGCTCGCGGGCCTCACGAACATGGCTCAAGATTTTACCCCAAAGTGTACTTTGTGTTGTTTTTTGTCAGGGATGGTGGGGGGGGCCGCATCGGGTTGGCCGCGCATGCTCCAAATGTGGAGGCAGAGTGCGTGCTGGATTTTTTTTGACAGGGAAGGGGGGGGGGGGGTGAGCATGGGGTCCTCATGGTTCCTGCTTAGCTGCCGATCGCCTAGGGGAGGGGGTGTATATTAATAGGGAAAGTGATAAACCCCTCCCCCGAGCAGGGGAAGGAGGAGTGTTGGCATAGAGAGAGAGAGAGAGAAAGAGAAATGCAAAATCCGTTAAATCACCTGCGCCCAGAGGGTTGGTGGGAGTGTGGGAGGGGGGGTGGGGAAAGGCGGGGCCCTCTGACTCGCTCGACCTGGCCAGCTTGACACTTCCCGTCGCCGTCGCCTACCTTCGCCGCCCCTCGCTCTCGCAGACGCCGCCGCCGTCGTCCTCCTCCTTCTCCTCCTCCTCCCTCCTCCTCCTCCTCCTCCTCCTCCTCCTCCTCCGCCTCCTCCTCTTCCTCCTCCTCCTCCTCCTCCTCCTCCTCCTCCTCCTCCTCCTCCCTCCTCCTCCTCCCTCCTCCCCCTCCCGCCTCGCCCTCGCCACGTCCTCGCTGCGCGAAGGAGGGCTCCCCGGACGACGTGGAGGCCCTTCTCCGGGACTCCAGCCCGATCCGTTCGCCTCTCGTTCGCGAGCCCGCGCTGGTGGAAGGAGTGAGGGAGGAAGACGAGGAGGAGGAGGAGGAGGAGGAGGAGGAGGAGGAGGAGGAGGAGGAGGAGGAGGAGGAGGAGGAGGAGGAGTGAGTGAGTGAGTGAGTGAGTGAGTGAGTGAGAGTGAGGAGTGGTGAGTGAGGTGAGTGGTGGAGTGGGTGGGTGAGTGGGTGGGTGGGTGGGTGGGTGGGTGGGTGAGTGAGTGGGTGGGTGGGTGGGTGGGTGGGTGAGGGAGGGAGGGAGGGAGGGAGGAGGAGTGAGGGGGAGGAAGAGGAAAAAGCTGAGACGATACCCTCCCTCCACTCTGGCTCCTCACGCCCTCCCCCCCCTGTCTCCCCTCCTCCCCTCCCTGTGGCATCGCTGGGACGTGTGCCTTTTTCTCCCTCGAGGACCACTGAGGCGCATCCTTGGCTCACCCTGCAGAAGCAACAACAATAACAACAACAGCAACAACAATAATAATAACAGCAACAACAACAACAACAACACCAACAACAACAATACCACTACCAACACCAACACCAACACCAACACCAACACCAACACCAACACCAACAACACCACCACCAACAACGACAAAATCAGCAGCAACAACAACAACAACAACAAACAGACGCACGAGACCGAAAAGGGCAAGGGGAATGGACGTCCGAGCGGTGGCCAGCTCCTCCCTCCTCTCGGGGGCCCCCAAGCGGGGTGGTGACCACACCGTGTGGTGAGTCGGTGGGGATTCGGGGTCACCGCACGGTTTTGGAACTCGGGTTATTCTCCGAGGACGTCTCGGGCGACTGGGGCATTCGAGATCCCAAAACCGTGCGTTGACGGACCGTGCGGCGAGGTCTTGGGGGATTTCGAGGTCACCGCACGGTCTGTCACCGCACCGTTTCGGGACTCCAAATCCTCCCGCCCCCTCTTCCCCCTGCCGAGGAGATGCACCAGGGGGGCCTCAGGCCGAACGTCGCCACCTTCAACTCCGTCCTCGGTGGCAGCTTGCGCCGATGCGGTGGGTGTCGAGGGCGGCAAAGAGGGGGGTGATGACTAGGGGGGGATCTCTTGGCAGGGGCCATGATAGTTCCCCAGATTTTATAGCGCCTCTTATTTTATTCAGTTTCCCCCCCCTCCCCTTGGGCCGCGCACGCGCCGCCAGCTATGATTTGCGCCCCCCCCTCTTGGACGCCCCCCTCTTGGCCGCCCCCGAGGGTGAGGAGTGGGTGGGGGGAGGGCTCAGTACAGACGGGCTGGAGTTATAAGATCGAGGTCGGTGCGGGGAGGGTACCCTGATGTTCTTCGCGCTTGTCGGATGCTCTTGTGCATCCTGGGGGAGGGTCCCCTCGAATGCTCTTCTTTTTGGCCGGCGGACGGCCTCGTGGTTTCGAAGGATGTTCTCCTGTCCTACAAGGCTCGTCAGACATGGACTCACGTTTGCTGTTTTCGTCGCTTGCGCGGTCGGCGCTACTTCAATCTTGGCATGAAGTCTTTGGCCCCACGCGCAGGGGTGTTCGAAGTCCGGCAGTGCCCTCGCAGCATTGAAGAACGCGTTCCCTGATGAGTGCCCGAACCCTCGGGCGCTTCGGTTTTGAACGACGTCTCAGTTTCTTTTTGACGAGGCTTGCCGGTCCGACTGTACGATGCTGGTCCGGGGGACCTGGCTGACCTGGGTCTGGATTGACCCCGGTCAGGAGATCCCCGATTTGAAGGATTCGAAGGAGGAAAAGCGCCATAAACATAAACTTTCGGCGCTCCTCGCGGATTTCTTGGATCCGCGGTTTGCCCCCCCCCCCCCCCCCCCCCAGCGGCGCCTCCGGCGCCGCCCCTGGCGCGCTCCGCGCGCCAGGGAGGTGGGTCTGGCGCAGATCCAAGAAATCCGCGCGGAGGGCCAACAGTTTATGTTGGTGGCGTTTTCTCTTCTTCTAAGGATGCTCTCCTGTCCTAGGTCACAATGGTCCGAGGGACTCCCGGCACCCATCGTCGCCCTCCTCTGTCGTGCCTCAGGGCGCCTCCTCATCCTCCTCCTCATCCCCCCCCTCCTAACTGAAGGTGGTGGTGGTGGTGGTGGAAAACAGGCCCATCATCGAAGGATGCTCCCCTGTCCTTGGCCCGACTGTGCGGCACTGGTCCGAGGGACTCCCGCGGCACCCCTCGTCGCCCTCAGAGGGCGCCGCGGCCTCTCTCGCCCTCGAGCTCGGCGGCGTGCGCTCTCCTGCGGCGCGCCCTTCTCCGCGGCCGGAGGCGAGCGGTGGCGTCGAGGCGTGTCCCCGCCCGCAGGCGGCGGGAGCCAGAGTCCCAGAGATCCAACGCATCAAAAAAAATCAAGACGGAGGTTTCTCACAACTTTTGGCCTCTGGGGGCCCTCGCGGGGCCCCGGGACCGTCAAACAGCGGTTCAGGATGAACAACCGGCCCTGGGGAATCGGTCTATGGGCTTCCGGGGACCCCGTATGGAAAAAATCACGACATCGGATCTCTGGGGAGCGGCCGCGGCCTGGGCGTGCTTCGAATTCAGCGAGCCCAGCCCTGGGCTCAAGAGACGGGGGTCCACGCAGCCGGGGGCCAGGCAGAGCGCCGGATCTTGCAGCATCTTGCAGAGCCAGGGATGCATTGACCCGGGCTTGCGTGCAGGATCCTGCAGGACCCTGCGAAGCTTGACTGGCCCGGTTCTGTTCAGAAGCCAGGCGACGGCTGGCAAACCCGTGGCTGCTAAAACGGAGCTCCGGGAAATTGTGTTTTCTTTCTCCTTCCGGGAAGCAGCCCGTTTACTAGCGCGCTGCGCTCGATCCCGGGGATCTGTTTCTTTTGTTTCTTCCAGGAAGACCGTTCTAGCAGCCACGGATTTGCCAGCCCTCGCCCAGCTTCCAAGGAGTGACCCGGGTCAGTAATTAGACCCCCGACAGGCGAGGGCGGACCTCGGCCGTCCGAGGGGCGGCCCGCCCGAGGGGGATCGCCCTCCTCGGGCCCACCTGCCACCCAGCCCGAGCGGAGCCCCTGCTCCGTTCGAGTTCGAGGCACCGCCATCTCGATCATGGCGATTCGCGACCTCGCGGCGGGCCCCAGGCAGGTTTGCCGGACGTTGGCCCGCTGCCATGGGTCGGGGGCTCCCTCAGCGGGGTGGTGACCACGCCGTGTGGTGAGTCGGTGGGGATTCCGAGGGACGCCGCGCGGCTTTGGGACTCGGGTCGCTCTCCGAGGGCGCCTCGGGCGGCTGGGGCATCCGAGGTCCCAGAGCCGTGCGTTGACGGACCGTGCGGCGAGGTCTTGGGAGATTTCGAGGCCATGTGTAACACGCGTCCTTGTTCTTCGCGCCCTGACGCCCTGGCAGGAGGCACACAGCAGCATGCATGCCGCAATCTCGTTGCCCGCGGTTTTTCTGCGAACCCGCGGTGAGCACCGTGAGATGCACGCTTTGCCCACGCGCCTTTGTGGCGTACGGCTCGTTCGTTCGCTCGCACGGTCTGCCACCGCACCGCTTCGGGACTCTAAAAAAGGGGGGGCAGGCGCGCGGCAGCCAGGCGAACCGAGGGGCCACACGTCTGGGGCCACGGCTTCCCCGTGCACGGCCACCGGCGCGCGCGTGCCTCCCCGCCCCCCTCGGACGGGGCCGTACGGGGACGAGGGCAAGTTTGTTCCAGGGCGTTCCGGAAGGCTCTGAGAAGGCAACGGCGCCCGAGATGTCCTCCAGAGCCGCCCGATCTCAGAGGTTCTCGATTCCTCCTCACGCGGTGCTATCCTCGTCTCGGTTTCGTCTTAGACCCCCTTCTAGGCGGCCGGGCGCCGCGGCCATCGGAGGCTTATTTTCCTCTGGCTTGGGTCAGGGGCTGCGGCTCGCAGGCGGGGGGGGGAGTCATTGTAGTTGGTATGCGGAGGGGTACTCTCGGAGGCGACGAAAGGGGCGAATCGCCCAGGAGGGAGCAATACATGTATCCAGGAGCGCCGATGATCCATGTCTTCAGCGAGGCTTCCGGAGGGGTGCATGTAATGCTCTCCCCTGATCTATTCGCCCCTACCGTCGCCTCCGATACTCTTGTGTTCTTCGAAGCAGGTCGTGCGGGTGACGCAGTGCCCCCCCCCCCTGCCCCCCGCTCCGAGGAGGACGCACGGGTTCTCCTTGAGGGCAGGGGGCCCGTGGGCCCCAGCCTGGTGCGGGAGCACCAGCAGCTGTTGCCATTGGCATGCAAGCCCCCACGCCTCGCCCCTTTCGCCGCTGGGCAAAGCGGCGTGTAGTCCTCGCGAATTGGAGGAGGAGGAGGAGAAAAACAAGAAGAAGGAGGAGAAGAAGGAGGAGGAGGAGGAGAAAGAGAAAGAGGAGGAGGAAGAGGAGGAGGATGAGGAGGAGGAGGATGAGGAGGAGGGCGAGGAGGAGGAGAAGGAGGGCGAGGAGGACGAGGAGGAGGAGGAGAAGGAGGAGGAGGAGGAGAGGAGGAGGGGGGGAGGACGAGGAGGAGGAAGATGACGCGGAGGAGGAAGAGGAGGAGGAGGAGGAGGAGGAGGAGGAGGAGGAGGAGGAGGAGGAGGAGGAGGAGGAGGAGGAGGACGCGGAGGAGGAGGAGGAGGATGAGGAGGAGGGGGAGGAGGAGGACGAGGAGGACGAGAAGGGCGAGGAGGACGAGGAGGAGGAGGAGTAGGAGGAGGAGGAGGAGGAGGAGGAGGAGGAGGAAGAGAATCGGCCCGCCGAGGGGGCGCGGTCGTGGCAGCAGCAAGGCACGCCGCGGCCTTTGAGACCGAGCCTCTCTAGCTGCAAGGGCGGGCCCGCCTCCCTGGGCGGGCGGGAATCTAAAGGTTTAATCCAATCCCCGAGGGGCAACACTTGGCCGCAGCGTTCGGGGCTTGGCAATTTGAAAGTCTACGCAACACCTCGCCTGCACTGTCTGAAGCCAGACCCCCTGGGCAAGGGAGTGGGAGTTGGTGGAGCTTCCCTCCCCCAGTGCTCGTGCAACTACCCAAGCGAGCACACTTGGCATACCACAGCTGGCCAATTATTTCTATGAGCGACTGGGATTTGTGCACCGTCTCTCCACCGATCCAGAGGGAGGGGTGGGTCCAGGCTGGGGTCGGGAGGGTGACATTATACATTGAAACTGCCCTCTTTCCTGGGCATTGGCTCTCTCGCATCCAATCATCCACAGGTACTCTCGAAGGCCCTAATTCACAGTAGAAGCAAAACCAGCGTTTCTTGTCCTTGGGATTCTGCTGCATGCAGTGGCCCGTGACACGCTCGAGCTCCTGCCGAAGCGAGGCTATCTTCACTGACCCCGGGAGCGGCGGCGGACGCTGGTGGTCGACCCTGGGCAGCGAAACAACTTCACACGCAGCTGCAGCGAGGCGTTCACGCACCGGCGTTCAAGCACCCGTGACAGGAGGTTATCGCAATGATCAAGTGGGTTGAGATGGGGCTGAATCAGTTTGAGGGCCTTTTCCATGCACCGTTGAGCTAGGGTGCCCGCTCGGAGGAGGAGGGGGAGGAAGAGGGGGAAGAGGAGGAGAAGGAGAAGGATGAGGAGGAGGACCAATGGGAATCCAAGAGTCACCAACGATGTTGGAATCTACCCTCCCTCCAAGCTCCCTCTTCATAAACTCCTACAACGGTTCATTTCCACCGAGGGAATTGCTTCGCTGGAAGACGACCGTTTTGGAGGCCCCGAAGCATGCCAGAACATTGTTCTCGGGATTACAACGCCACGGATCAACCTGACTGGTGCGTCTTGAAGATCTCGAATCGTGCCCGAACACCGTTCCTGGAACTTCAGCACCGCGAATCGACGTCACTGTTGCGCCCCCATAGTCCTGAATCCCTCCAAAACACCGTCCTTGGTGCGCTGGCCATGGGAACCCGTGACATCTGCAACTGATGAACATGAATGTGCGCGGCGCTAAGGCGAGAGCCGCATTTTGAAAAGGAACCGTTTTCAATCCGTGGAAGTCTTGCAAGTCTTAAAACGAAGGTGCGCGGCGCTAAGGCGAGAGCCACATTTTGAAAACCACCCGCCCTCAATCCATGAAACTCTTTCAAAGCGTAAAGACGATTGTGCACGGCGCTAGGGCGAGAGTCACATTGTGAAAGCCACCTGCCTTCAATCCGTGGAACTCTTACATTTTTTAGAAGAATGTGTGCGGCGCTAAGGCGAGAGCCACATTTTGAAAACGACCCCCGCCCCTCATCTGTGAAACTGCTGTCAATGATTAAGCTTCAGGGTCATACATGGTGAGGAAGTCTCAGGAGAAACGCCTGGCCCGCCCTAAAACGGGCTTCAGGGTGCGACAGCGAGAAGGAAAAGGCATGGAGGAGGAGGATCGGGCGTCGAGTAATGGACATGCGATGAAGGGTGGGGTTGAGGCGAAAGGTGGGCCTTCTGTGTTCGAACGGGGCCCTAAAGGCGCCCCGTGGGGTCCGAAAGGGGCAAGAACGGTGCTCGTTCCCCCCCCCCATCGATCGCCCCCCATTAATTAACACCCGTAGGAGGAGGAGGAGGAGGAGGAGGAAGAGGAGGAGGAGGAGGAGGAGGAAGAGGAGGAGGAGGAGGAGGAGGAAGACGACGACGACGGCGACGACGGCGACGACCATGACGACGACGACGAGAACGAGGACGAGGACGTGGACGAAGACGAGGACGAGGATGAGGAGGGGGACACGGGGAGAAGAGGACGATGAGGTGGGCGCCTTGGAGCAGGAGGGTTTGGGATGAACTCCTCTCCCGCAAGGCGGAGCCCTTGCCGCGGGTGACTTCAAGCGCGCCTGGCGCACCATCGATCAGATGGAGGAGCATTGGGGGGGTCAACTGGTCAGCATCATCTAACCGATCCACATCCCCACTAGACCATGGCATCTCAGCGCCACCAGCACACTTCCCCAGGTGGGGATAGGTCCCGCGAAACTCGAAGCGCACGGCACATCCATGTGTATATATATATATATATGTGTGTGTGTGTTATACATACAAGATTGCATGTGCGTTTCGCGTCATATCATGTAGGCGGAAAGGCATGGACGTACAGCCTAAATCGATCATTCTGATTTCTCATGCTCTCGCCTCACGACAGTTTAAGGGCTTCGTGGGGTCTTTGGAGGCTTTTTAGGCGCCTTCTGGTGGCCTCTGGGGGCTTCCTCGGGCCACACTGCTTCCAACCGCGGTCTCCCTGGTCACGATTTGGAAATCTTTGGGGGGCGTCTTGAGGTCCTAGGCTACGGAACTGGTTGGGGCATTGGTTTTGGGGGGGCAGGGTTTCTCCCCCCTTGCACAAATATAGGAGGAGGAATAGAGCCACCTGGGAGGTTAAGTTAGCCAGTGGGGCCAAGGCAGTGTCGGTGGTGATGGGGGTCGGTCAAACGATGCTGAGTTGGTTTGACCCAGCTGTGGCAGTGAAGCTCGTCGCAAGTGTCTTGTCGTAACGTACCTCCCCTTCCTCCTCCTCTTCCTCCTCCGCCTCCTGCTCCTCCTCCTCCTCCGCCTCTCCTCCTCCTCCTCCTCCTCCTCCTCCTCCTCCTCCTCCTCTTCCTCCTCCTCCTCCTCCTCTCGTGGTGGCCCCCGCCTCAGGCGCACACTGTGCAAAACCTTAGGTGCTTCGTGTAGACCTTCTCTGGGGTGCGCTTCGCCTGGGCTCCGCGATCGCCTGGAAGTAGCTCCCCCCGATACGAGGGGTCATTTGAGCAAATGCTACGCTTAGGAACTTAGGCGTCGGTGTGTGTGAGCGTGTAAAATGTGTACATATTTATACACACAGATGTATGTATCAATATTTGTATATATATATAAGGAGAGAGATATACCGACATATAGATAGATTGGCATATATATAATATTTTATACAATCATACATACATATGCATATATATTTATATATATGGTAGCAATTTAGATCGGTAGATAGATAGACATAACTATGTATATACAGATAGATAGCGTGTGTGTGCGTGTGCGCGCACACGTGTATGTTGCCCCTGTATTGCGAAGGTCTTACGGCTGGTGCCGCCGACCCTGAAGGCGGGACCTCCCCCAGGACCCCCGCTGGGGGGGGGCGGGGGGCGGCATTCTGATTCGGGACTCCCCCGCCCCTCCCCCCACCATCCGCTTCCACCCCCACCCCCACCCCAAGCAGGGAAGGGATAAAGGGAAGGGAATCGACTTAACTACGACGTTCTTTTTCCTTGTTCCTCCGCTGTTGGCCACCCACAGGTGATACCGCTAGTTGTACCCCATTTTCGCGTCGGAGACCAAGCGTGCGCGTACGTATGCAACATGTCCAGTTGCGTCTGATCGAATAGCTTACATGGGCGATCGTGTGCGCATGTTTCGGTAGCAAATCATGGGAGCCTCGTATACTCTCGTACTTCCGTCTTGAGCGTCGGCTAGCGTTTGGGAATCGATGAGATAGCGCCGGCTTTAGCATCGGCTTGCGTCAATTTAGCGTCGACTAGCGTCGATTCGCAAGAGCCGACAAGATGGTATGGGAGGCTCTCATGAGTTGCCACCGAAATATCTCAGACTATGCGCAGGCGGACGAGTATGCGGCATTGATGCCGATGTAGCCTTGGGAGTCGGACTCAAGACTGCTACACCACACCGCATGCGTTCAGCAAGTATGTCCTAGCAGAGTCAGACACATTGAAATTTAGTTGAAATTTATCATGTGTTGCACGATCGCCCTCCTTCTGAGCTCACGAGTGCGGCTGGTCGATGTCACTGAGATTTACCCTCGCCCTTGCACCCCGTGCACTCGCGCCACTCCGCAGGGCGTCGATGGTCCTGGCGTCGACGCTTACACGATCAGCATCCTCTTCAAGGACTGGGGTCACGCGGGGGCTCTGAGTCTGACGTCGTCGTATTGGTAACCAGGACGGACAGGGTGCGCGCGTGCGCGTGATCGGCAGCCCGTAGGTGTGAGTGCGTGCGTGTACCTGCCTGTGTCTTTGTTGTGAGTGCTGCGGGTGCTTGAGCATGCGCGTTGAACTGGGCGAGTGCAAATAGCCGTGCGTGCGCGCGCTCGCTCAATTGTCCACAATTGATGCGTGTCTCTGCTGACTGTTGATGGGAAGGCTCCTCCTCCTCTTCAATCGCCACATTCTCTTTCCCCCCTTCGTGCGACTGTGCTCGTGGGTCTGCGAGGTCTACGCCACCGACGGCCGCGGGCGTGTGCGCTCTGGCCCGGCCTGCAGGGGGCGCGTGATCCCTGCCGTGTGGCGCTTCAGCCGTCCACCGATCCGTGCCGACCCTCTCGGCGCCCCCTTGCGCGCACAGCACGTTCGGTGGAGTTCTTGCCTTGCCGTGTGGTGATGGCGTTGGGGCCGAAACTCCTTTTCTCGAATTCGGCGGCGAGCGAGGGGGGGAAGTAAGAAGAAGAAGGCCTTCTCAGAAGAAAGGCTCGGAAGTCCCTTGGCCTTCCGAGAAGTGTTCTTGGCCTTCCCCGAAGACAAATTACCCCAGTGCGACCCTACCCAGAAATTGGAGACCCTAGGATAGCAGCATTAGTTGCTATGCTATGCTATGCTATGCTGCGCTGTGCTATGCTGTGCTGTCCTGTGCTATGGGGCGCTATGCTATGCTATGCTATGCTGCGCTATGCTATGCTGGGCTATGCTATGATATGGTATGCTGCGCTATGCTACGCTATGCTGTGCTCTGCTATGCTATGCTAAAGCTCAGCGAAGCTAAGATGAAAGTAAGCTAAGCTGAGATAAACCTGAGTTAAGATGAAACTCAGCTAAGCTAAGATGAAATAAGCTTAGCTAAGATGAGATAAGCAACGCTAAGCTAAGGGGACGTAAATGGGGGAACCGCGGGGCGGATACTGGGGGAACCGCCCGGGCCGGTTCCCACTGCCCGGCCCGTTAAGCCAAGAGAGTAAGAACCTTTCTAGGCAGAGCCTAGGTAGGGAACAAGAACTTCTCAGAAGGCGCGAGGGCTTCCGAGAAGTCCCGCCGCCTTCTGAGCAGGCCTCCTCCTTCTCACTTCCCCTTTCTGCTCGCCGCCGATTGATTGACAGAGTTGCGTGAAATGTCCCCGCGCCGGGTGCAGGACAGCCTTCGGCTGGGTTGCACGTGGGCCCTGCGAGGGCCGGTGCGGGAGCCTTCTCGACGGCACCCGACCCAGTGGGGCTCTCTCCGAGTGCCCTCCTGCTCGGAGTCGGTGGCCCCTCCCGCACTGCATTCCCCTGCCGCTCTGGCTCGCGCTCCGAAAAAATCAGAGGCGTGTTCTTCCCACTACTACTTTAAAGCAGTTGCAGGTGGACAAAAACACGATGTCCGCCTGGGCCCCCGTCGGAGGAGCGGGAAGTGCGAGCGCAATGGCGCGCGCGGTTGCGCGCGACCCGCCGCTGGTAATAGCCTGAATGCGCGGGCGTCGCGGCGACGATGACGGTGGCGGCGAGATCGACACGGGCTTTCAAAACCCGTGCCGATCTCTCTCCGACCTTGGCTCCTTTTGTCCAACCCCCGCTCCGGGCCCCGGCGCCCGCTCCACGATGTGGCCCAGAGAGCGGCCTGTCGGCAGGATGCGCACGCTCTCTGCCGATGCTGCTCGCGGACGGGGCTGGGACGATCAATTCGTTCCAGAGCGTTCCGGAGCGCTCTCGGAGCGCTCTCGGAGCGCTCTGAGATGGCCGCGGCGCCCGAGGCGTGCCCCGGGGCCGCCGGACCTCAGCTGACTCTCGGTACATCCTCGCCCGACCTCGTCCTCGCCCTGGCTTCGTCCTGTGCTGCCTCCGGGACACGGCGCGCGGAGCGCGGAGCGCGCACGGCTCCGGCGCTCGGCTCGCCTCGTGTCTCGTCTGCTGCCCCTCACAGGCCTCCTCCGTGGGCCGTGGAGGAGGCCGAGGAGGGGGGGATAGGCAAGACGGCCATGATGTCTTGCTCGGGAGGGCCACGGGCCTCCCTGAGGCGCTCGCGTGCACTATGTGGGAAGCGTCGCTGGCTGTTCAGGCCTTGGGGGGGGTTCAGGCACACGGCACGCCCCGCATGCGTGTTTCCAAGCTTTGGCTCTGCGCACGGGATTGCCTATCGCAGGTCGGCTCTTGTGGCGGTCCAGGTTTGCTTGGCGTCTCGCGCTCTCCTCTCTTGCCCTCCCCCGCTCCTCCTCCTTTCCTCCCTTCCCTTCTCATGGCCCACTTCTGGCATGGGCCAGGGTTTCAAGCCACGGATGCGTGTGACAGCCGTTTGTGGTTGAGAAAAAGTGGTCCTCCCTGGCAGAGATCATGGTCGCCCGCAGGCATCCATCCCCTGGAGGAAGTCAGCGGCCGGCCTCAGCAGTGCCCCAGGGGTACTCCGAGCTTCTTAATTCAATACGCGTCCGGGGGGCGTCACCCCCGCCGACAGCCCCACATCGACCCCCGTCGCGGGCAGCCACCGCGCGCCGAAGGCGCTCCGACCCCCGTCGCGGCGCGACGGCGAGGCGAGGTTGACCCCCGTCGGGGGGGTTCCCCCCACGCTTATCAGGAAGCCCAGGGTACAGCCTAGACGCCGAAGAGAGGACCCCACTCTGGGCTCGGGAGGGGCTCTGGTCTTCGGCCGCTCCCTGGACTCAGGCGGGGGCAACCTGCTCGTGACCGAGGCTCGCCCCATGGCCAGAAGAGCCTCGTCGCTCCTGCTCGGCGTCTTTGAGTAGCAGCACGAGGACGGTAGCTCTGGGCTCTCTCTGTGGCCCCCCGGGGGCCCTCTTGGGCACCTCTCGGCGCTCTTACGGTAGCACGAGTTCGGCGCCCTTACGGCAGCACGTTCCCGCTCGTCGCCCCACCTCTTGGGCGCGGCGCGCCCATCGGGTGGGCGCCGCCAGAGGCGGCTCCGGGCTTGAGACCGCCCAGGGGTGCTTTGGGAGGTCCTGTGGCGGCCAGCTGGAGGGCTGTCTGTGCGTAGCCCTGCAGGGCAGATGCCGCTCCGATCGATCCGATATTTGATCCTGGCCCGCTCGGTCCGATCCAGGTTCGCCGAGCTTTTTCTTTGGGTGGATGGCCAAGGGTGAAATCTGAAATGCCGTTTCGATGGATTTTCGATGCTTGAATCTGCACAAGGTGAATCAAACGACGGGTTGATTTTCGAGTGCAACTGCCCATGTGGATTTCACCCTGAGCCCTCCACCCTGAGAGCATGCTCAGGTTGTTGCAGACCCAGGTTCTCTTCCTCCGTAGCCATTTTGGCTCAAGCTGGGCTCGAGCTTCGGCTGCACCTCTCACCACGCGCCCCGCAGCTGCTTCCGAGGCCGCGGTCCACGCCGCGAGATCCCTGCAGAGATGTCGTCGAGGCCAGCCGCCAACCGCATGACGCTCCAGACCTACAAGGGCCGTCTGGGCGGCGCCTCCAAGGGCTTCAAGCTGCTGAAGAAAAAGCGCGACGCCATGAAGGCTAAGTTCATGGGCCTGCTCAAGGAGATCGTCACCACCAAGATGGAGGTAGGTAATGGCTTGAGGGAGGCGGCTTTCTCCCTGGCCAAAGCGAATTGGGCCATGGCAGGTGACGACTTCAACTCTACCATAGTTGAGAGGGCTATGAAGCCGACCGTGCAGGTGAGGCTGCTTGCGGACAATTGCGCTGGCGTGTCAATCCCGAATTTCAAGGTGGTGCACGATCCAACCAAAGACACGTCGTCACAGACAATCGGTATCACAAATGGTGGCGCGGTGGTGAAGACCTGCAAGGACACCTATTTCAAGTCGATTGTTGCCCTGATCAGGCTTGCCTCGTTGCAGTGCGCTTTCAAGACCCTCGACGAGGAGATCAAGATGACGAGCCGCCGCGTGAACGCTCTGCAGTACGTTCTGATTCCACGCATCGAGGACACCATCCAGTACATCACACAGGAGATGGACGAGATGGATCGCGAGGAGTTTTTCAGAGTTAAGAAGGTCGTCGAGAAGAAGAAGGCGAAGATAGAACGCGAGAAGATAGCGCTCAAGAAGGAGCTAGAGGCCAAGGGCCTGGCGATGCCAGCGCCCGTGTCGGCCCTCGATGTGCCCAGCGCGCTGGACAGCACGAAGAAGGACGACGACATCATCTTCTGAGCGGCGGCCGCCAAGCGGCGGCGAGGGCCTTGCTGGGCGGCGGCGGCGACTCCCTCCTGCTCCTCCTGCTGCTGCTCTCTCTCTCTCTCTCTATCCCTCTCTCTGGCTCTCTCTCTCTCTCTCTTTCTCTGGTTGCGGATATACAGGTAGCACGTGCGTGCCCAGGCTCATACACAAGAAGTGCAGCACGTAAGCATCGCAGGCATTGGTCCAGAAGAAGAATCTGACTTCGGATCTGAGGAGGAGTAGGAGAAACCAGAACATGAGCAGAGGAAACAGGAGCGAATCAGGATAGTGAGGATCACCAGATGGCTGTTGAGAGTGAGGTACACTAGTGGGGTCGCAGTCGAGTGCAGGTGAGCACCTTGTGCTGGGTGTGGCTGATGATGGGGTTCCACACCGTGCGATTGCAATGGAGCACAAGCTCGGAAGACAATTCTGGAAGGATGTCTCGAGCGAAACTGTCGTTTTAGAGAATATGGGAACAACTTTGAATAAGTCGGGTTTGAATTTTTTTGGGGGGGTCTCACGCGAGACGTCCAGTGTTCCAAGGACCGCGTCCAAAATCATTGAAACCCATTGTGTTCTTCAAAATTAGATGCTGAATGCTGAAATTCCGGTGTTTTTGGACCCTGACGTCGCGATCTGCATGAGGGGTGCGTCAGGTTTTCGGAAGTCTGAGGATGTCTCCAGCGAAACGGCAAGAACATCGCGGACGGGACCCTCTGACTTCAATGATTTGTTTCGGAGTGATTTTGGGAAGGTCCGTGTGGCGATATTGTTTGTATATGTGTGTTTGTATATGTGTATGTCATGTATTATTGGTTCTCTCTCTCTCTCTCTTTCTCCCTTTTGTTGGTTGTCCTCTCTGTTTTTCTCTCTATCTCTCTCTCTCTCTCTTTCGCTTTCTCTCTCACTCTCTCGGTATGTGAATGTGTATATGTACACATGGCTGCATTGGCGATTCGCGCCATGCACCTTGGTTCTTGGACTTCAGCATGCAGGCGGAAAGGTGGGAAAGTGCAATAGAACAAATAATCGTAACTCTTTGCTGCGTGTTCCGACATCGTCGTTGCAATAATGTGTTTCACCCTCCTCAATCTCGCCCTACCTTGCGAATTCTTCCCCATCCTCCTCGGCTCTTTTGCGGAGTCTCCTCCTTGGAGAGCCTCTTGGGGGCCTCGCGAAAGTTTTTGAGGGCGTCTTGGGGCCTTCGGGAGGCCTTGTGGGGGCCTTTCGGGGCTTCCTCGGGCCACCCTGCTCGTCACGATTTGGAATGCTTTGGGGGGCATCTTGGGGCCATCTTGGGCCGTCATGAGGCTCTCTTCGGACCATCTTGGGGTCCTGTTGGGCCGTCTTTGGGCTTTCCTGGGCTGCCTGGAAGGCCTTTCGAGTAGTTCTGGTGCGATTTCCGGGCCTCCTGGGCGGTCTCGGAGGCCGGGAAGACCGAAGAACAGAGCGTTCCCCAAGTCATGCAAAAATTGTTGGGCAACACATGTTTTTACGCGTTTAGATAGCTTCTTGGGGATCTTTTGGGTGTCGTTTTCGGGCGTCTAGTCGGTGTCGGGGGCCTCTTGGGGCCCTCGGGGGGCCGTTCGGCCCTCCTCCTGATCCATCAGGGCCCGTTGCCTAGGCCAAGCGGGGGCTTCCAGGAGCTCTGGATAGCTCGGGGGACCTTCTCTGCAGGGGCGTCCAACGAGCCCCCAGGCCCATGGATCCAGGGGGTGGAAGGTGAGGGTGAGGGTGATCCGGTCCCGTCGCCGCGGGGGGAGGGGGGAGGGTTCCCTTCCCCCCCCTGGCTTGAAACAAAAGAAAAAGTATAGGGAGAAGAACCTGCATATCCTCTTCTCTCCCCTCCCCCTCCCTGGGCCACGCCCGGCACGCGGGCGCAGCCGGTCTTGCGCGTTTTCCCCCGCGCGGCGCCCGCGTCCTCGGCCGCCGGTGCGGCGTTCACCCCACCCCTCGGAGAAGAGCTGCACAGGGCATCAACCTGCGGAGGTCCCCACAGGGTCGAAGACCTTCACGGTCGGACCGAGGTACATAAGATCGACGTCGGTTCGGGGAGGGTACGCCAATGTTAGGTCGGGCCTGTCCCTCTACAGGGTGAATATTCCAAAACAGTCGAAAAATTGTCTGGAGACGATTTCTTTGTATGTTATGTTTTATCATGTTAGAGATTTGTTTGAATGTTTTCGATTTTTCGTTCAAAATCCGCCTGTAGGAGGGCATGCCCGACATAAAGGTACATCTAAGATCGAGGTCGGTTCGTGGAGGGTGCGCCAATGTGCTTTGTGCTTGTTGGATGTTCTTGTGCAGCTCGGGGGGGGTACCCACGAGTGTGCTTCGGTTTCAGCTGGCGGAGGGGCCCCATTTGCTCGAAGGGTGTTCCTCTGTCCCAGGTCCGCCCGTATTTGGGATGTCGAACCGCCGTTCTGGATGGAGAGGAGCTCCAGAATGGAGGGGGGAAGCCTCCAGAATCGAGGCTGACCCTCCATGTGGAAGATTTTGGATCCCCTGGTTCCGCGCGGATGTTTTAGCCTGGCGCTGGAGAGCACCGTCACTGGCGCAGGATGGCCACCAGCAGCGGAAGCAAAGGGGAGAGGCCGACAGCGTGGGGGGATGGGACCCGCGGCACGTCGTGCACGGGCGCCGGCAAGCGCACGTTGGTGAGAGTTCCAGGCGTGTGCGGAGCGCGCCATGGGGGGGGGCCCAGCGCCGACCCGAGAGAGCCGTGCGGGCCTCCGAGCGGTCCTGCTCTGTGCCGCTGTTCCTGCTTCTGGTGTGCAGCGGACTTCGGACGCCGCCTGCCATCCTGGGGGCCCTGGTCCTCCTGCCCCCTCCTCCTGCCCCCGCCCCCTCCGCCTGCCCCCCCCCCTCCTGCTGCTCCTGCCCCCCCCCCCCACCCCCCCCCCCCCCCCCCCCCCCCCTCCTGCCCTCCTTCCCTCCGCCTCCCGCCCCTGCTCCTGTCCCCATCTCCCACAATCACACAACATGAATGCTACTCTCCTCTCTCCCCTCTGATGACGTCCGGAAGATGTTCGGCCCCCCTCCGCGTATTGTGTTTGTTTACACTGGATTCCCGGGAGTTGGGTTTCCGCTTAGTTGTTTTTTCTAAATGTTGCTCCCGCTGAAGCGCTGGCCTCATTTCCGCGCCGCTCGTTCCGAATCGTGCTCCCGCTGCAGCGCTGGCCTCATGTCCGCGCTTCCGCTCGTTCCGAATCGTGCTCCCGCTTCAGCGCTGGCGTTATTATTTCCAGTTCCATTCCACGGCAAGGAATGCAATGCTATGTGGTGTTCCGCTGTGCGATGCCATGCGTCACCTGCAATGCTAGGATATGCAGTGCTTAACTACGCAGTGCAACGCCATGCTATGCCATGCCATGCTACGATTTGATATTCAACGCCATGCTGTGCCATGTTCTGTTCTGTGCCGTTGTGCGACGCCATTATTTGCGTTGCAATGCTTTGTGATGTAATTCTTCACTACGCAACGCCACTGCATGCTACGACATACTACGCTCTGCCGTGCTCTTCTACGCCCTGCGATGCCGTGCTCTACGATGCATCGCGCACCCTCTCGGGATCATTGCCCTGCTCGACATTCGCCGACTGTGCGAACAGAGAGGAGATTTACACCATGGTAAGGGATGGGAGGGAGGGGTAGGACGTCAGATATGACGCGAGCGCACCTGGCTTGTCCCCCCCCTCCTCCAGGCCCCCCCCCCTCCTCGTCCGCCCCCTCCTGCTGCCCTCTCCTGTAGACACGCTCCCCCTGCCCCCCCCCATCTGCTGCTCCCCCTGCTTGCCCCCCGCTTGTCCTCCTGGCATCGCTTGGACGTGAGCATTTTGTTCGGCCAGGGCCATCGAGGAGCCCTTTGAGTCGCCATGCGAACAAAATGCACGCGCGAAACCGAAACATGCATGGTATGGACGTCCGAGCGATGGCAAGTCCTCCTCCTCCCAGTTTGAAACATGGCCTCATCCCTGTGTTTGGCATCACCTCACATCGGTGCCTACTAACCTTAAAGGATGCCCTCAGTTTCTGAGGGCACATCCGGTCGGAAACTGGAACGACGAAGGGCAGCAAGGGGGCCACAAAGGGCGACAGCGGGGCCACGTAGGGCATGCGTATGGGGCCACGAAGGGCGCGAACGAGCGGCGGCCACGAATGGCAGAAAATGCGGGGCCACAGAGGGCAACGACAGAGCCGCCGAGGGTAGCAACGGGGCCACGTAGGGCGGCGAGGGGGCCACGAAAGGGCGACGGCGGGGCCGCGCAGGGCAAGGGCACGCACATGGGGCCACGATGGGCGCGAACGAGCGGGGGCCACGAAGGGCGTGCGTATATTGGGCCGCCGGGGCCGCGAAAGGCAGCGAAGGGGCCGCGAAGGGCTGCAACGGGGCCGCGAAGGGCAGCGAGGGCCCCTCGAAAGGCTGCGAGTGGGCCAGCGAAAGGCTGCCACGCTGCCACGAAGAGCAGCGAGGAGGCCACGAAGGGCTGCAACGGGGCCACGAAGTGCAGCGAGGGGGCCACGAAGGGCTGCCACGGGGCCACGAAGTGCAGCGAGGGGCCCTCGAAGGGCTGCGACGGGGCCTCGATGGGCAGCGAGGAGGCCACGAAGAGCGGCAACAGGGCCACGCAGGGCTGCAACGGGGCCACGAAGGGCCGCAATGGGGCTACGAAGGGCAGCGACTGGGCCGCGAAGGGATGCAACGGGGCCACGAAGAGCAGCGAGGGGGCCACGAAGGGCTGCGACGGGGCCACGAAGGGCAGCGAGGGGGCCACGAAGGGCTGCAACGGGGGCACGAGGGACAGCGAGATCGCGATTAAGCTGCGAAGGGGGTCCTAGGCGTGAGCGCGACTCCTGGGTGCCTGAGTGTCGGGAGCGTGGTGCTTGAGTAAGTTGCGGGGAATTCCGACGCAAGATTGCGGTTCTTGCGTAAGTTGCAAGCAAGTCTCCAGCGAGAGCGCGACTCCAGAGCGCAGAGGGAGCGATTCCTTAATTCATGGTAAGGATGTCCCGAGCGAGAGCGCGAATGTTGAGTAAAATGCGAGGAAGTTTCAGGCTGGAGCGGGGATCCGGGCTAAATTGCGAGGAAATCTCAGGCGAGAACCGTTGTTACTGCAACCCGGGGGCCAGGGGCGCAGTTTGACCCTCGTGATTTTCCCGGGTGTAAAAAAACAGGGTGCGAGCCCCGGGGGGGGGGCACTTCAATTGAAGAACGCAGTGGTCACCGGAGGGGGGATGAACAACTTTTATTCTTCAACAGGGAGAGTTCAACAACAACCACCACCACAACAACAACACTAACACCAACACCTACACCAACAACAGCAGCAGCAACAACGACAATATCGACGGGGCAAGTCCTTCGACTTGGGATCGACCTATATGCCTCCGCGGAACTACACGCAAGTTTTTCCCGCGCCGCGTCGGCGCCCTCAGACCCCCAAACTTCACTGTTGACGCCGAAACACGCGACCTGATTTTTCCTTGGCGTCCGCGGACCGCGCCGCACGCGCCACTGAACATTGTGAAATTGGGGGGGCGCGGGGGGGTGGAGGAGGGGGGAGCATTGCGTGAAGTTTCGCAGGTGCAAGTGCGCACGCAACGTCTGACATCCTGGGCACGTGCCCGTCATACCCAGTCTTTCCCTCTGCGTTGATCTTCTCCCTATCCGCCAGCGGGCAGACACACAGACACAATCAATCGTCGATTCCCCGAAACATATGCGTAAATATGGGAAGGGGGGATGACGAAAATCCCAAAAACATGGAAACATAACGGGGGATCCGGGGATTTGTGTATTTATTTGTGTGTCCCTGGGCCCCTTCAAAAATGACCTCACCGTGCGATGCGCTCTCGGGGGTAGCTGTGTGCGCTGGCTTGGGTCGGGCGCTGCGGAGACCGTCGCGCGGTGCACAAAGCGCGCGCACAGCTGTGTGCGTTGGAGAGGAGGAGGAGGAGGAGGAGGAGGAGGAGGAGGAGGAGGAGGAGGAGGAGACGAAGGGGGAGGAGGAGATGGAAAACGAGCGGGAGACAGAGGAGGACGACGATGATGAAGGTGGAAAAGGTGCAGCAGCAGCAGGAGCAGTAGGAACAAGAAGACCAGGGGAAGGCGGAGGAGGGGAATTGAGGGGGGCGACAGTGACGATGAAGGAGTCGGATCCAGCAGTGCGGCCCGCGCTGGGGCGAGACCGTCACTCTGAACGGCGGGAGCACGGCGCCGATTCTGAAACGGGGCCAGCGCTGCAGCGGGAGCACACGATTTTACACAGTCACGCGGAGAAGGGCCACGATGCAGGGCCACGATGGGCCATCGACTTCGGGGGCCCAGCATCCGTAGCCAGGCGTTCGAACAGTATGTAGAGCCTACAGACAAGCTGCTGAGAGAGCCACGCGACAAGTTGAACCTGGACACTTTTTGTGGGCAACCGCATGCGGGAATGAAGGCCCCCCGCTCGCAAAGGATCCGGGGAGAGGAGACTAGTACTGATGCTGGGCAATTGTGGGAGGGGGAGGGAGGGGGGGGAAGGTGGAGGAGGAGGAGACGGAGGAGGAGCAAAAGGAAGACACAGGGGAAACAACCAGAGAGGAGGAGGAGGAGGAGGAGGAGGAGGAGGAGGAGGAGGAGGAGGAGGAGGAGGGGAGGAGGGGAGGAGGAGGAGGAGGAGGAGGAGGAGGAGGAGGAGGAGGAGGAGGAGGAGGGGGAGGGGGAGGAGGAGGAGGAGGAGGAGGAGGAGGAGGAGGAGGAGGAGGAGGAGGAGGAGGGGGAGGGGGAGGAGGGGGAGGAGGAGAGGGAGGAGGAGGAGGAGGAGGAGGAGGCGAGGGAGGAAGGGAGGAAGGGAGGGAGGGAGGGACCAGGGACCAGGGACCAGGGAGGAACAGCAGGAGCAGCAAGAGGAGGAGGAGGAGGAGGAGCAGCAGCAGGAGCAGGAGGAGGAGCAGGAGGAGGAGCAGGAGGAGCAGGACGCCCGAGGCAGCAGGAGGCCGGTCCATCACGGCCGCCCTCCGTCCTCTCCTGGCGTCGGCGCGCCGGCTAGCGGACGGCGGGCCGTCGGCCGCGGTCGCCGCGGCGGCGGCGCGCGGGGGCCGTCGGCTTAGGTCGGGCGCGTCCCTCGACACGAGGAAGATGCAAAAATAGTATAAAATATGTCCGGGGACTATTCTGTTGGAGCACGTGTTGGCCATGTTCGAGCATTTGTTTTGATTATGTTCTGTTGTTCGTCCAAGATCCCCCTGTAATCAGGAGGACATGCCCGACCTAACCGTCGGCTGGAGATTGGTCGATTTCACAGGCGAGACGAGAAAATGACCCGCTGCTGCAGCTGCTGCTGCAGCTGCTGCTGCAGCTGCTGCTGCTGCTGCCGCTGCTACTGCTGCCGCTGCTGCTGCTGCTGCTGCCCCTCCTTCTCGTCCTCCTCCTCCTCCTCTTTCTCCTCTTCCTTCTCCTCCCCCTCCTCATCCCTGTGCTACCTCTCCACCCTCCTTGTGCTCCTTCCATGTTTTCTCTCCTCCCTTGCATCCGTCCCTCACGTTTACCCCCCCTCATCTCTGTCCTCCTCCCTCCTCCTCCTCCTCCTCCTCCTCCTCCTCCTCCTCCTCCTCCTCCTCCTCCTCCTCCTCCTCCTCTTCCTCATCATCATCCCCGTTCCGCCTCCTCCCCCAAGGATGAGACAGATCCGTTGCTGTCTGATCGACTGACGATGGGCCGTGGTTCGGGCTATGCGGCCAGTCCATTAGGATTTGTTGCACCGTTGGGTTTGATGCCAGATCATGCCCAAAACTAACTACTATCAATGGAGAATGAGTGAGGGGGGAGGAGGAGGGGGATAATTTTGTTGGTGTTGATGTTGTTGTTGTCGTTGTTGTTGTTGTTGTTGTTGTTGTTGTTGTTGCTGTTGTTGTTGTTGTGGTTGTGGTTGTGGTTGTGGTTGTGTTTGTGGTTGTTGTTGATGAAATCTCATTACTGAAGAAGTATGGTTGATCCCCCCCTCCGGTAATATATGTGTTTTTCAATTTAAGTGCCCTTCCCGGGGCTCGCACCCTGCTTTTTCTGAATGAAAATATTCCTCCTCAAACTGCGCCCTTGGCCCACAGACTACAACAACAACGGCTCCCGCGTGATATTTCATCACAATTTGCCGTGGAATCGCGCTCTCGCTAGGGACTTCCTTGCAATTTATCCAAGAATCGCGCTCTCGCCTGGGACTTCTTCATTATCTACCTATACGACCACCCTTCGGGTGATAAGGAGGTTCGGGGGGGGGAGGAACCAACGTCTCACTCGATCGGTCTCACTATCGATCTCACTATCGATCTCACTATCGGTCTCGCTCGATCGATCTCACTCGATCGATCTCACAATCGATCTCACTCGATCTATTTCATTCGATCGATCTCACAATCGATCTGACTATCGATCTCACAATCGATCCCACTATCGATCTCACTACCGATCTCACAATCTATGTCACATTCGGTCTCACTATCGATCTCACTATCGAAATCACAATCGATCTTACAATCAACGTCATCATCAGCATCGTCAACATCATCGTCATCAACATCAACATCATCATCATCATCATCATCATCAACAGCATCATCATCAACATCATCATCATCGGGACACTATCACCATCATCATCACCTCATCACCATCATCATCAGCATCAGCATCATCATCACCATCATCATCATCGGGACACCATCATCGTCACCATCATCATCATTAACATCATCATCATCGGGACACCATCATCATCATCATCATCATCCGAACACCATCATGTTCATCATCATCATATCATCATCATCATGAGCAACATCATCAACATCATCATTGGGACACCATCATCCTCATCATAATCAGTGACATCATCATCAACATCATCAGCATCGGGACACCATCATCATCGTCACCATCATCATCATCAGCATCATCGGGACACCATCATCATCATCAACATCATCATCATCGGGCCACCATCATCAAAATCATCATCATCACCTCATCATCATCCTCATCATCAACATCATCAGCGGGACACCATCATCGTCATCATCATCAACATCATCATCGGGACACCATCATCATCATCATCATCACCATCATCATCAACAGCATCACCATCACCATCACCATCATCATCGTCACCATCATCATCATCATCATCATCATCATCATCATCAGCATCATCGGGACACCAGCATCATCAACACCATCGTCATCGGGCCACCATCATCAAAATCATCATCATCACCTCATCATCATCCTCATCATCAACATCATCAGCGGGACACCATCATCGTCATCATCATCAACATCATCATCATCGGGACACCATCATCATCATCATCATCAACATCATCAGGATCATCAACCTCATCATCATCATCATCATCATCGGGACACCATCATCATCAACATCAACTTCATCATCATCAGCATCTCATCATTTCATCATCATCAACATCATCAGGATCATCAACATCATCATCATCATCATCATCATCATCATCATCATCATCATCATCGGGACACCATCAGCAACATCAGCATCATCAACACATCATCATCGGGATACCATCATCATCACCACCATGGCAATCATCATCATCATCATCATCATTATCATCATCATCATTATCATCTTCATCTCCATCAGCATCGTCATCATCATCATCATCATCATCATCATCATCATCATCATCATCATCGTCATCATCATCATCATCATCATCATCATCATCATCATCATCATCATCATCATCGGGACACCGACGGGACACCGGCGGGACACTGGCGGGACACCGCGCGCCACCGGCCTCCGGTCAGGAATCGTTTGGTCCGGCCTCAGCCGGAGGCGGGACACCGGCGGGACACCGCACGCCACCGGCTCCCGGTCAGGAATCATTTGGTCCGGCCGCGCCTCAGCCAGAGCCGGGACACCGGCGGGACACCGCGCGCCACCGGCCCCCGGTCAGGAATCGTTTGGTCCGGCCGCGCCTCAGCCAGAGGAGACTTTCTTCTCGCCCGCCCACGCAGCTTCGCCTCGCCCGCACGCACGGCACGCACGAACACGAAACCGAAACCGATTTCTCGGTAGGGGGCTCTCCGTTCCACTTCGATCTCAGCCCCTCACCTCCGACTTTCGCGCTCTCGCCCGAGACTTTCTGGCGAATTATGCAGGACTCACGCATTCGCGTAACATACATGATTTTTCGATTGAAGTGTTCCTACTGGGGCTCGCTGTGTTTTACCAGGGAAAGTCTTCCTGCGCAAATTTTGCCCCTGGCCCCCGGTTTACAACAACAACAGTTCCCGCCTGATATGTCTTTGCAATTTATCCTAAAATCGCGCTCTCACAAAGAACTTCCTTGCAATTTATCGAAGAATCGCGCTCTCACCTGATACTTCCTCGCAATTTATTAAGGCGTCGCGCTTTCGACGCTCGGGAATCGCGCTGTTGCTTGGGATTTCCTCGCAATTGATTCAGGCGCCGCGCCCTCGACACTCAGGAATCACGCTCTCGCCGTGGACTTCCTCACGAGATTTATTTTGGAATCGCGCTGTCGCTCAAGGCTTCCGAGCGATTCATGCAGGACGCACGCTTCAGCAACCCGCCTGCTCGACCTGGCCGCCTGGGCCTGCCTGTTAGGGTCTACACGCCCGATCTGCCCGTCTGGTTCTGCCACGTGATTTCTGCTCCTAGAGCCCCCCCCTGCTACTCTCTCTCGTGCTCCATCCTCCTCTGTCCCCCTTGTCCCTTCCTTCCATCCGTCCTCTCTTCCCATGCCTTAGGTGCTGCACGAGGTGCATGCCGCAGGTAAGAAAGATATCCCCCCAAGGGGATACGATCGAAGACAAAGAGGGTGGATATCGAGGGTTTGGGATATACGGGTTGAATGGCACGCGAGCAGATATGAGCGAACAGTCTTAAAACTAGTATTGTTGTTGGTGGTGTTGGTGTTGGTCTTGTTGACGATGATGAAAATGATGACAGTGGTGATGATGATGATGGTGACGCTGATGGTGATGATGATGATTATCCTGATGATGATGATGATGGTGGTCGTGGCGATGGTGGTGTAAAGACGATGTTGATGATGATGGTGGTGGTGGTGATGACGATGATGCTGATGATGATGCTGGTGATGATGATGTTGATGCGGATGACGACGACGATTGTACTGATGATGATGGTGGTAGTGATGGTGGTGGTGATGATGATGCTGCTGATGAGGATGCTGATGATGATGATGACGGCTATGATGATGATGATGATGATGATGATGATGATGGTCGTGATTATTGTGAAGCTGATGATAACGTTGTTGATAATGTTGATAATGATGCTGATGATGATGGTGTCGATGCTGATGATGTTGATGACGATGATGATGGTGATGCTGATGATGATGCTGATAAAGGTGATGATGATGACGATGTGAGGATGTGGGTACTGATGATGATGATGATGATGATGATGATGCTGATGCTGATGATGATGATGATGATGATGACGAGGAGGAGGAGGAGGGTGGTGGTGTTGGTAGTTGTGATGCTCATAATGATGTTGATGTTGATCCTGATGATGATGATGTTGATGCGGTTGCTGCTGAAAAGGATGATGAAGATGTTGATGCTGATGGGGATGACAATGACGATGATGAGGTTGATGGTGGTCGTGATGAAGATGAAGCTGATGCTGATGATGATGATGATGATGATGCTTACGACGACGACGCTGATGATGCTGATGATGATGGTGGTGATGAGGATGATATTGATGCGGATGACGACGACGATGGTAATGATGATGATGGTGGTAGTGATGGTGGTGGTGATGATGATGCTGATGATGATGACAGTTAGGATTATGATGATGATGATGACGATGGTGATGTAGGTGATGACGATGATGTTGATGATGATGACGATGGTGATGGTGATGGTGGCGATGGTGATTATGATGACGATGCTGCGAATGTCTATACCGATGATGATGATGCTGATGCTGATGAAGATGATGATGTTGATGATGACGATGAGGAGGAGGGCGGTGGTGTTGGCAGTTGTGATGCCGATAATGATGTTGATGATGATCCTGATGATAATGATGTTGATGCGTTTGCTGCTGAAAATGATGATGAAAATGCTGATGGGGATGACAATGACGATGCTGAGGTTGATGATGATCGTGATGATAATGATGATGATGACGATGATGAGGATGAGGATGAGGATGAGGATGAGGATGAGGATGATGATGATGATGATGATGATGATGATGATGATGATATGTTGAATGTGATGATGAAGACGATGATGATGATGATGGTGATGGTGATGATGATGATGATGATGATGATGATGATGATGATGATGGTGATGGTGATGGTGATGGTGATGGTGATGGTGATGGTGATGGTGATGATGATGATGATGATGATGATGATGATGATGATGATGATGATGATGATGATGATGATGATGATGATGATGATGATGATGGGGTGTAGGGGTGGAGGGGGATAGCGAGGGGGAGAAGGGGGGACACGGAGTACGTCCCCTCCCCCAACCCCCATCCTCTTTCTTCCATGGGGAGGAGGAGCAGGAGGAGGTAACAGGGGGAGGGAGGCTGAGCAATTCGCGACATGTATCCGTTTGGACCAGTGGGGGTGTCCTGGAGGTTGTAGGGCTCCCTCCCTCCCCCCACCCCCTACCCCCTCCTTGCTTCCTTCCTCCCCCTCCTTGGTCCTCCCTCTGGCTGTTTCTGCTTCATCTCCGCCTCCACATGCGGTCCTCAGAGATGTAGCCCGACGAGGGCACCGCACGAGCCCCCGTGCCATTTTTGGGGAGGATGGGGCATGTCTTTGGGCACGCTGGCGTTCGCCTGGAGAAGCGGCGCTTATCGCAGTGGTCCGAATCACGCGCTGGTTGTGCCTGTTTGGCTCAAGAAGGGGCGGGGTCCAAGAGGGCGCGCTTGCGGCGGTTCTTGGAAGGCCGCCGGTCGGTCCAAGAGGGCTTACCTTACGTCGGGGGGCATGTCCCTCCACAGAAGGAATGTTCGAGAATGGTATAACAATAGTCTGGGGACGGCTTTCCGTGCTCTTGTGATTATGTTTGGCGACTGTTTGACTTCTTCCAAAGCCCGCCTGCAGGAGGACATGCCCGACCTGAGGCTCACCCCCTCTCTCCTCCATCCATCAGCCTTTCCCCTCCCCGTTGCCTCCCTCCCGCACATTCCACAGGATGGGCCATCGCGCCTCTCCGCGGCTCTCGCGTGGGCCGCCGTTCGCCGTTGGAAACGACGCCTAACTATATCAACGCCTACCGAAACCAACGCCTACCCAACGTAGCGCCTAAATATATCGACGTCTCACAACAAAACATACGATGTCTGACTAAAATGACGCCTGACAAAAAAGGTGCCTAACTAAAACGACACCTCACACAAAAAACACGATGCCTAGATAAGACGACACATCGCTATCAACGATGCCTAACTAAAACGGCGTTCCACTGAAAACGACGTCTACCCAAATCAACGCCTATCGAAATGAACGCCTGCCCAACGCAGCGCCTAGCCAAAACGACGCCTCAAACAAAAAAACGAGATGACAACTTAAAACGACGTCTCACACCACAAAACAGCACGATGCCGAATGAAAACGACAACACGCAAAACGATGCCCAACTAAAGCGACGCTGCATTGAACACGACACCTGACTACATCAGCGCCTACCGAAACAGCGCCTACCCAAAGCAATGCCTAACTAAAACGCCGCCTCGCTAAAATACGATGCCAAACTAAAACGAGTTATCACTAAAAACGATGTCCAACTGAAACGCCTCTTCACTATAATGACGCTTCTTTGAATCAACGCCTACCGAAACTAACGCCTGCCCGAACCAATGCCAGACTGAACCAACGCCTCACGAAAACACGATGTGATCGTTTTTTATTCATTGCTTTGCCGATCGGCGCGGGCCCTCGCACCCCCCCCCTCCCCCCCCCCCTATGGAGTAGATCTTGGGACGCATCACTGAACACAACGTCTAAACAGATAAACAAACGTTTACCGAAACCAATGCTTGCCCAACGCAATCCCCAACTAAACCCTTGCTTCGCTAAAGCATGATGTCAAACCAAACCGACGCCTCGTTAACACCGCCTGACTCAACCATGATGCCCAAATAGAACGGCGCTTCATTGACACCAACGCTTGATTGAATCAACGCTTGCCGAAGCCGACGATGGGCCGAAGGGCTGCCTAACAGAAACAACGCATCATGAACGCATCATGCCTAACTAAGACAACACCTGGCTACACACGATGCCTAATTGACGCTGCGTTTTATTTAAAACGACGTCTAAGTAACTCAATGCCTACCGACACCAACACCTACCCAACGCAGTGCTTAACTAAAACAACGCCTCACTAACACGCGATGCGAAACTGAAACGACGACTCGCTGAACAACGATCTCAAACTCAAGCCACGCGTCACTTAAACGACGCCAAACTAAAACAACGCGTGCCGAGACCAATGTCTGCCTAAAGCAATGCCGAACCAACACAGAGCCAAACTAAACCACGATCCTAACTAAAACGGCGCCTAGTGAAACACGGCGCACGAATAAAACGATGTTCCATTGAGACCGACGCTTAATTGAATCAAAGCTTGATTAGACCAATGCCTCACTAAAACACAATGCCTAAGTGAAACAACGCCTAGAAAATCACGATGCCTATTGAAAATGACACCTCTTCAAAAAAGACTGTGCCCAACTCAAACGACGCTTCACTAAAACGACGCCTCACTAAATCAACGCCTACCGACACCAACGCTCACATAAGCTTACTCAAAGTAATGATTGATTGAAAGAATTTCTCACCACAACACGAGGCCTAACTAAACTTACGCCTGGCCAAAACACGGTACCAAACCAAACCAACGTTTCTTTGACAACGACGGTTAACAAAACAACGCCTACCGAAATCAATGATTTCCCACAGCAATGCCAAACCAAATCACCGCTTGATAAAAACAAAAAAAACATAATGGCAAACTAAAACGACGCTCCCCTAACTACGATGCCCAACTAGAACGACGGACGCTTCACTGACAACGACGCCTAACTAAATGAACGCCCACCGAAACCAACGCCTACCCGAAGCAATGTCTAACTGATCAGACGCCCCGCATACGATGCCTAACAAAGACGACGCGTCGCTAACAACGCTTCTCTAAGTTACCATGCCCAACTCAAAGATGCTGCACTGAACATGATGTCGGACTCAATCACCGCCTACTGAAACCAACGCCTACCCAAAGCAATATCTAACAACAACACGATGTCTAACTAAAACTACTCCTCGCTAAAAACGACGTCTACCAAAAGAGATACCTCGCTGACAACAACGCCAAACCAAATCAACGCTTGCGGAAACCAACTACCCAAAGCAATGCCTCACAAACTATTGCTTCATTGAGACATGGTACCTAGCTAAAATTACGCCTCGCTAAAAACGTCTGTCTAACTACCACGACGCTTCACTGACAACAACACTTTACCAAAACGGCGCTTCACTGAAAACGACGCCTAACTGAATCAATTCCTGACTCTTAAAACGCTTCACTACAATAATGCCTCACTAAAACAACGCCTCATTACAGCACGATGCCTAATTAAACGACCCCTCGCTGAAAAACGATGCCCAACAAACACGACGCCCTCCTCAAACAATGCTCAATTCAAACAGCAGTGCAGGCGTTCAAGGTTGAACGCCGCTGGTTCCCAGAATCTGCCGACAACAGACGATCTGCGCAATCGACGAACCGAGAGCTTTCAACGTTGAACGGCCAACGCCGTGTCGAAAACCAGCGCCGAAGGCTTGGGCACTCTGGATGGGGTATTGATCAGGGGGGGAATTAACCTTCCGACTGAGCTTGCCATCCCGCCGCCTCCGGCCTCCTCCCCTTCCTCTTCCTCCTCCTCCTTCTCCTCCTCCTCCTCCTCCTCTTCCCCCCCCATCCACCCGTGCCGACAGCACGTGCCCAAACCCCCAGCGGAATCAAGGGGGGGGGGACCTGCGGCGCTCGCAGGCCCCTCCTCCTCCCGCCTGCGGCGCTCGCATGCGGGAGGGCGGCGCTCGCCAAACAGGCGCCTGGTTTCTTGTTTGTGGAGACAGAGCTTCCGTCGGTGTTCGCTTCCGTCGGTTTGGATGTTCCGTCGGTTCGGGAGGGGTCTGCTCCCTCGGTCCTTCTCCCTCCCCTCCCTCCTGCCTCGGTCCTCCTCCTCCTCCTGCCTCGGTCCTCCTCCCTCCTTCCTCAGTCCTTCTCCCTCCTCTCTCCTCGGGTCCCTCCCTCGGCCGAAGTCTACGACGCTCCAGGGGCCAAGGCGCTCACAATGGTCTCGCTCGAAGCTCCGTCGGATGCGGAGCTCGTGGTCCTGGACGGCAGCCAGGTCTTTGGGATACAGGCATCCCTTGCGGCCCAGGCGGAGCCCGAGGCCGGGGGCGAGAGCCTCGATACCCACGTTGCCCGAGGCCATGGTGCCGTGGCTAGCTGAAGGCCACACGCTTTGGGGGCTTCCCGTGATCGACAGCACGTCTCGACTGTTGTTCTGCACCACTTGTGGCGACTATGTCACCGCTTTCAAAAGAGCTCAGGGACTGGAGGAGCTCCGCCTCGGGCAGGAAGCTTAGCCGAAGAGTGCTGGCAAGAAAGCATCGAGTGCGATCGCCAGGTTGGTTCGTCCGAACAGGGCGTGCAAGTTGGGGCCTCATCGCAACCCTGGGGCGGAGACGCGTGCTTTGTTCGGGAATCGGTTCGGTGGGACTCGGCGATCAGGCCCCAGCTCGAGCCCATTGAGCATCTCCGCTCCACGTCCTCCTCCTCCTCCTCCTCCTCCTCCTCCTCCGTCTGAGCCCCTCCTCCTCCTGAGCCTCCTCCTCCTCCTCCTCCTCCTCCTCCTCCTCCTCCTCCTCCTCCTCCTCCTCCTCCCCGTCACCGTCCCTGTCCGGCCGGGGCGAGGGCTACAAGAGCAAGCGCCGCACCGTGGACGCGGGGTCCTTCGATCGCGCGCTGCGCCTGATGAAGACGCCGCGGCCCCAGCAGCCCGCGCGGCCTGAGGGCGGAGCCAGTCGAAGGGGGCGCGGAGAGGACGGGGACGACATGGCGAGGGACAGGCTCGACGTCGGAGGTGCCCTGGCGCCCTCGGTGTTCGACGCGTTCGCAAGTGCTCGGGCGTGTTTTCAGCGGCGTTCCGTCCTCGGGGTGCTCTCCAGCAGCTGCGCCTCGCCGAGAGCGCGGCGCACTGGGGGTGCCCAGGGTCCCCCAGGAGCGGCCAGGGGCCCGAGCCGTGGCCCGGAGGCCAAGCGAGCCTCGACGCGCGGCGCCGAAGCTCCCCTGGGGCCTCAGGAAGCCGCCACCGATCCTCCACGGGTCCACTCTCGCGGGTGTTGCTGCCGTGGATGGGACCAATCCCAGAGATCCAACGCACTGACAAAAATCAAGACGGAGGTTTTTCACAGTTTTCGGCCTCTAGGGGCCTTCGCTGGGCCCTGGGACCGTCAAAAAACGACTCTGGATGAAGAACGGGTCCTGGGGAAAGGGTCGCGACTTCGGGGACCCCGTATTGAAAAAAACACGTCAGCGGATCTCTGGTGTGAGATAGTGCATGTGTCACGTGTGTATATGCTCCACTCGATACCGTTTGACCTCTAGGGGCCTTTTTTCCATTGTGTTAAAACGCATCATAATCACACTGGTAGCGGAGCTACCGCACGATCCCCGTATCGTACCACTGCGCGCACGTCTCGTCAGAGAGTGTCGCACTACCTCTTTTTACTTTCTGTGCTGGCAGTTTCCCTCGCTAGGGGACTGAGACTTGCGCCATGGCACTTTCTTCTCTTCGGTATCGGCCGACGCGCTGACGCGGTCCGAAACGAAGAGTGGCTCCGACATCTACGACGGCACGGTGAACAACTTTCACGAGTGGGAATTCCGCACGGATATGCGCATGAATGTCACTTTGGCCTCAGTGGATCAAGAGACGGGTGCACCACAGCAACACGTGATCACCGCAGCTGTCAACAAGGTTGTAGAAGGTTTCACTGGTGACGCATTCGATATTGCCATGGATATCGGTAAGGACGTGCTTCTGACACCGAATGGGCTCGATCAGCTGATGCTGACGATTCGTACTTCATTCTTTCCCATAGAGGCGCAGGAAGCGAAGATCTTGTTCCAGGTGGGGTAGAGACCATATGGACCACTGTCATGGCAGAGCGGTGAGCCTATGGTGTCGTGCATCTCCCGAAGGAAGCGCTGGTGGAAATTTGTTTCCAAGTTAGATCTTAAGACCTTGATGAGCGACGATATGCTTGACTCCCTTCTCTTGGACCATGCAGGCCTCTCGCCTTCGGAGAATCTGATGGTGTTGACATCGACAGGAAAAGTCACAACCTTCGACAACAGCAAGGATGTCTTGATCCTCCAGCACGGCCGCATACACATCCGCCGAAAAGGCAAGGGTGAGTCTGGCAAAGGCTCCAGCTCTTCGACGTGGACGCAGCCCAGACCCAGCTACCAGAACAGGAGCAAGGGCACGGGCAAGGTGCGCTTCTCCAGGCCACAATGCGCCTTCTACACTGCTGATGATGGATGGTACGAGCAGGAAGAACATTACCCTGAGGAGCTGATCCCCTACTGGTACTACGCGCCCGGCCATGCGCCAAAGCATGGCTGGGACGACGCGGCCTGGGACGACTACGCCGACGAACGCACCTACGTCGACAAGGAATCGCACGCTCACTGGGCCCCTGTCCAGGATAGCAGCGAGCTCGACGTCGAGGTGGTCGACGAGATGGTCAAGGCTGGTTACGCGGGGGAAGAAGCTTCTGACGCGACCCAAGAGGACCTGGTCGCCAACCTTGGCACCAAAGGGAGGGGCAAGGGCAGAGGAAAGAGCGGAGGCAAGGATTACCACTGCACGGCCTGGTCGCCCAAGGGAGGCGGCAAGGGAGGACCTTCCTTGGAAGATCGCAAGAAGCGGCTCCAGCCAGGCGATCAAGAAACGTTCGACATGCAAGACCTGCCACGAAACAGGCCGCTGGTCCGGGGGCCCTGAATGCAAGGGCAAGCCCAGGACGACAATGGTTGCGCACGCTGGAGACACCGACGAGAGCTCGCATCCGTCAACTCTGTCGCTGCATCATCATCATCATCATCATCATCATCATCATCATCATCATCAAGCCCCCATCGCATCATTTGGGGCGAGGAGGAGGCGATGAAGATGGATTATGGTGTTTCTATTATGCTCTTCTTTCTCTTTTCGCGTTGCGCGTCACAGGGCACGCGCGCGCGCGAGGGGGGGGATTGCGACGGGCAGTGCAGCTCGCAGCGCACGCGCGT